ACCAGTAAATCAGTAATATGAGATGTATTCACCAAATTTCGTTTAAGGTGATGAAGGACTGGTAGAAGAAAAATTTTTCCACAATGATATGAGTTTAGCTGATGTTTCCATTAAAAATCACATAGCCTTGCTTTCCCAAAAGTTGTTCTCATCCAAGGTGGAGTGCAGTTTCGACCTCACATCGGTCTTATTAACAACCTCAGCAGGAGTCGAACCGCGGCAGTGCAGGATGGGAGCTTGACACGCTAACCACCCGACCGATGCGAAGTCGAAACTGAAGTCCACCCTGGATGGGAACAGATTTTGGGAAAGCAAGGCTGTGTGAAATTCAATGGAAGCGTCAGCTCAACTCATATCATTGTGGAAAATTCTTCTTCTACCAGTCCTTCATCACCTTAAACGAAATTGGGTGAATACATCTCATAATATATTATGGCTTTACAATTGTAGCAGCCATTCAGTTGAATCAGGGCCTAAGTTAACATAAAACTCATCAAATTGCCAATAAATGCCTTTATTCTATGAAAACCATCCATCAAATTCATAATATATTATTAAGTGAAAATCTACCATTTGTGGTTGAGATCTAGGAATATACTGGAATTACTTTTTGGTGTTAAGTTTGCTTGACTTCGTCGGATACCAGAAATAAAGTACTATATAAGAACTTATCAGAATATTTAGAAGTTGAATGCATTGCCACATTAGCCAAAAGGGCCCTCGTGGACGTACTGATACAGTTGCTCTGACTAAACTATTTGGGATTAAGAGACTTAAGTATCAGCAGAGGCAAGGATAAGAGGACTTATTGTGACATTATTGCAGGAAGATTAACATAAATCTTTCCCCGTGACCAAAGTGGATTGGTTAATAGCATAGATACGAAGTGTAATTGGGTTTCGCTAAATATCATGAGATAGCATTGTTGGATAGACTTTTACTTTGTATGAAATTGCATGAAAAAGAGATTCGGAGGTCGACCTAACCAGAAGACAACAGCTGAATTTCGTTGTTATGCAGCCGTTTGGCTTCAATATGGCGTTGAGTTTGACGCTGTCCATAAGACATCATCCTTCATTTCAAATGAAACCTGGCTGAGCTTTCGTCCGCCATATAATGGACATCATCAGAGCTGGAACTCATTGTTGTAAAAGACTCACGTTAGCTGCGTTAACCTGAATGTCGTATTAAAGCCAAGCGGCTGTACTACAAATGATATCAGCCTTCGTCTTCTGATGAGATCGACTTTATAATCTGCTCTTCATGCACTCTCATACGAAATGAGAGTCTCCCCAACAATGATCAATTTTAATCAATGTTAAATAATGTTAAATGCGTCCGAAACGACAACTCTGTAAGAATAGCATGCATACGTGTGTCATCACATGCCCTAAGTTTGGTGGTAAAGTCAAACTTGCACCTACAGCCAAGGCTTGCTTCTTGACCCATCAAGTGGGAAAGCAGGGGCGGCAATATTGCTTCAGTCTGTGTCCGGTAGTATCAATCCATGGATAATGGAATCTTCGTAGGTAGATTTAGACTGCCGTGGAAAGAGCAAATAGGCAATTTCACTATATATATGAACTATATTTAGTACTCATGCAAGCAATTTTAGTTTCCTCTCTTTCACAGAGCTCAGCATGAAGGCCAGCAAGACGCGTATTAAAATATGCTATTTCAAAATAATGTAATACATCTTCGGAAAATATTATTTTCTGATAGTAATTATAGTGGATGAGGCTTTCATCTAAGTTTGCCTTAACAGTGCGATAGGATAAAAGGATATGAAAATAAAAAAACCAGTTTATGTGAAGAATGCTAAAAATGGCTTTCATAACGTGACACTTAAATAAGCCAAAATGGTACCTAAGGGTTAAATGAAACTATTAAAAAATACAAAGTGGCATAAAAGTATCACTAAGTTAAGAATGGAGAGCGAACTAGCATGTGGGTATTAATAGATTTGGTTTCAGTTAGCTAGATCCTTATTAATTGCGCACCTCAGCAAGCATGGGAACGATCCGGAGACAACTGTGTGAGCTCTGTAAGGAGTTGTAAGGATTCGATTCTCTAATCTGGCCTGGCATCATCTTAACCGTACAGGTTGGCCTTCGGGGGTCTCGTGAATAGTGCTCCGCTTCTATACAGCCCATTCTGGCGCTACTATCCGAACCGCAAGCAGCCTTCGGCTCGCCCCCGCTCTCCAGCGTCATAATGACTTCGTCAACTAGCTTCTCGGAATTCTCATCCTCGATGAATTCGAGCAACATCAACGGGTCCTCGTGCACTAGCTGTTGGAAGCGTGAGAACGATAGGATCTTTCGTCTTACGCGACTCATCACACGAAGTACTGAAAGTCCATTGCTGGAAATTCCACTAGTGTTCCTATTTCCAGCACCAGCATTGCCTGGATGGGATGATTCACGACGGTGTGTCTCATCGGTGAGTAGAATTAT